AAAAACAAGTCTCCAAGTCTTGTACAAATCTGTTTCAACTAGTGTTTCTGAAAAATCTCCAAGTCCTTTCAAGTTAGAGAAATCGTTGTCTTCTTTCACAAAGAGAATATAGTTGTCAAGCTCGTAACTGAGATCTTCAAGCTTTGAACCACTAAACTCATGAGGATAAAGTGTAGCAAGTTTCATAATTCTTTCTTTATCATAATTTGCAAAAGAATCATCCGAACTCAAACTAGCCATACCAAGAAGTAGATTACTATTCACCGCATCAAAACGACTGTTAAGCTCTGAAAGTTGCAAATCAATAACAGTATTAAAAACTTCGACACGCAAATGATGAGAATATGTAACACTTGAACTCCTACGCTTTGACTTTCCAAGATGATAGTTCTTATCCATTTCAGGGATCACAATATCATGCTTGGCACAAAATGAAGAGGCATCATTTATCAAAGATTCCCATTTAGATTCTCTCATCCCTTGCAATTTCCTTTTGGCGAAACCAACAAGCTTCATAGCATTTACAATATCCTGATCTTTTCTTTGCAAAGCCATATTCAAATCATTTGTAATTGCCAATAATTTTAACATCAAGTGCATCATATGAACAAACTCAAAAGTTCTTATGTCATTCACTAAACTTTTTGCCACTGATCTCTCTAGATAATTTGCACCCTCACTTCCAAGAAACTCAAGTACATTAATGATAGACGAGAATAATGTAATAAAGTTACGCACTGTCTTAAAATGAGAACCCCATCGAGTATCACCTGGCCTTTGGAGTCCAAGTTCTTGATTTAGTCCACTTCCTGTATGAACTTCACCAAGCACTTGTAGCTCCTCTAATTTTTTTGCCTGATCCTCTCGAAGCATATCCCTACGCTTAATAGAACTTCCAACAATATTCAAGACATTAGCAACAATATCAAAAAATTGATCTACATCACAATGGTTTTTTGCAACGGCTACAAGAGTCAATTGCAATTGATGGGCAAAGCAATGTATACAATACGCCGAAGGATTATCTTTCAGAATTAAAGTTTTAAGACCATTGATTTCTCCTTGCATGTTACTAGCTCCATCATAACCTTGTCCCCGTATTTGAGATGGACTCAATGAGTGCTCTAAAAGCAAATCATAGATTGCTTTTTGCAATGACGATGAAGTTGTTGTTTTAACATGAACAATACTAAGGAATCGCTCAATAAGTTTGCCTTCTTTGTTGACATACCGCAGAACAAGAGCCATTTGTTCCTTATGAGAGACGCCCTTAGATTCATCAACCAAAATTCAAAAATAATCTCCATTCAAATCTTCAACTATTGCTTTCATTATTTCTTTCGCACAAGCATTCACGATCTCTTTTTGGATATTTGGAGCAATCATCATGTTATTTTGTGGAGCACTTTGTAGCACAACTTTTTTCACTTCATCATCCCTATCTGCATACCATTGTAAGAGTTCTACAAAGTTTCCTCTTTTAGTGGAAGTTTCACCTTCATCGTGGCCCCGGAAAGACATTCCTTGTTTTAAAAGAAATCTTGCCACATCAATCGAAGCATTCAACCGAACTCGATAATCGCTTTTAATTTTTTCAGACTGCTTGTCGAAAGAGGTTAGAATTGATTGTTCTTGATTAATTAAATCTCTCATCATCTTATAACACCGATTGTGAAGATTATTCACCTCTCTAATATGTGCGTTAAACCGTTCTATAGCTTTATTCCAAGCTCTAAAACCACGCTTTGTGAAAGAATCCCCAACTTTTCTATGTCCTCCATGCTCATTTTTAAACAAGTAACAACATAAGCAAAATGCTGCATCAACTTTAACACTATATTCTAACCATCCAGAGTATGAAGTTTTAAACCACTCAAGATTAAATTGACGCATAAATCCACCAAAATCTCTTTTTGGAAAGCTACAACAAGGTTGACAAGGCCCTTGTTGAATATAATGTCTCCTTATTCGGTCACGTAAATTCGGAGGATACTCTGAATTTGCTTTCTTTCTGCAGGATCGGGTTCAAGATTTAAATTCAACATTCTTTCTTTGTTTAATCCTGCCGAAGGATTGATATTCTCATGAATAGTTGGACTTGGAGAAGAGCTCGGCATAGGAGGACTAGAACCAGAACCAGAAGTTTGAGGAGTTGGAATAGCCTTGAAAAATTTCGTAATCATATCCACCCTCACTAAAAAGATCCTACAAAAACACAAACAAATAAATTACACTCCAGCAGTGGTACTTTAATATTGTTAGATTGAATGGAAGTGTAACGACCCGACCGGTCGTTTTGAGTTCTAACGCTCCGTTCAGCAGCCTGAGGCCATGAGCAGCTTCATTTCAGGTATTATGACTTGTACGCATGATCGGAATTAAGTCCCAGGAAGTTCAGAGTTGATTTGGGAGGAGAATTTTCATTTCAGAAGCTTAAAGAATGGACTAAGATTGAATTTTTAAGTAAACGACCTCGGAATCAGGATCTGAAGGTTCCAACAGGTTCGTATGGTGATTTTGGACTTGGGCGTATGCTCGGTTTGAGTTTTGGATAACCCGGGAGTGCTTTGGTGCCTATTGTGGAAGTTAGCATTTAAAAGGAATTTCATAAGTTTGGCTTGAAGTGCATTTCAGTGTTATCGATGTCCGTTTGGGGTTCCGAGACTGTGAATAGCTCCGAATGGTGATTCTGGAGTTGGGGGCGCGGTCGGAAGTGAATTCGGAGGTCCGTAGGTCATTTTGGAGCCATTTGGCTAAAGAGAGAGATTTGAAGGTTTTTGAGAAGTTTGACCGGAAGTGGACTTTTTGATATCGGGATCAGAACCCGATTCCGGAAGTTGCAGTAGGTTCGTAATGCCGAATATGACTTGTGTGCAAAATTTGAGGTCAATCGGACGTGATTTGATAGGTTTAAGCATCAAAAGTAGAAGTCTGAAATTCTAAAGTTCTTTAAGCTTGGATTGGGGGATTGATTCATGATTTTAGCGTTGTTTTATGTGATTTGAGGCCTCAAGCAAGTCTGTAACGTGTTTTGGGATTGGTTGGTAGGTTTGGTTGAGGTCCCGGGGGCCTCGGGTGGATTCCGAGTGGTTAACAGATCAAAAATGGAATTTTTAGACAGCTGAAGGAATCTGGTTGGTGGTATTTTCGCTTCTGTGGTGGGTTGACGGCAGAAGCGGCACCGTAGAAGCGGAAAAGGAAGACCGCAGATGCGGATTTTGGTGAAGGGAGCTGGGACCGCAGATGCGGTCAGGGAGCTGCAGATGCGGGACCGTACCTGCGGAAAAAGGGAGCGCAGAAGTGAAAGCTGGGGTGGCCAGGGTGGAACGCAGGAGTGGCCTGGTGACCGCACTTGCGGAACCGCAGAAGCGGCCCAGGGTCCGCAGGTGCGGAAATGACTGGAGCAGTGAGGTCTTTAAAATTCAGGGTTGAGTTCATTTCAACCCCATTTTTCTTCCATTGGAGTCGATGGGGAGCAGCTTGGAGGTACCATTTTTGTCACTTGTCATGAGATAAGCAATTTATGCTAGCTTTGAGTTAAATACAAGGTTTATATATGAATTTGGACTTGGAAAAAAATTGTAGAAAATTGGTGTTTTTGGAAGAAGATCTAGAAATTTTAAAAATTGGATTTCACCACGAATTTGAGCATGGAATTAGGAGCAAATTGTATATTTGAGTTCATAGGGTCATGGGTAATCTTTATCTTCAAAAAAATTACAGATTCCGGGCACGTGGGCCTGAGGGCGTTTTGGTCAACTTTTCGTTCGGGGTTAGGAATTGTTACAAATTGGGTTGTAAAGTTTAATTGAGCATATATTAATGGATTTGTATATTCATTGGCTAGTTTTGGAGCATTGTGCGTTGGTGCAAGTCTTCGGAGGAATGTAGAATGACGGTTATGAGTCTTCGGAGCGAGGTGAGTCTCCTTTCTAACCTTGTAAGAGGGAATTGTCCCCTAGGTGAAATAATTGATTATGTGCTCCTATTTGTGGGGGCTACGTACGCACGAGGTGACGAGAGTCCGTGCGTAGCTACTATTATGCTATTGTCCGGGTAGTTAGGACCCAAAAAGCATGTTACACTTGGATTATTTATGAACCCCTTGATAACTTGAATTGCTTAAATCACCTTGGATTAGTAAATGAATTTAAAAAGAGATTAAACCTCATTTTTCCTGAATTGTTAAAAAGAGAAATTGTCTTAATTGGATAAATATCCCCGATAAGTTCCTAATTAACTGATTGAGCATATATCTCTATGTGTACCTGCGTCGCACGCATGATTCGCGAGCAGGGTATGTGTTTATTTATGGAACGGGCCGAATGCCTCGGCAGATTAAATAGATCATCTATGGTTCGGGCTGTTTGACCCTCGGTAGTGCACAGTTTACATTGCTGTTGGAGCGGGCCGTCGACCTCGGCATGATTTGCGCATGATATATATATTGTTTTTCCTGCAAATTTTTAAATGTGGGTATTGCCTTTCATGGCCTTGTATAAATTGATAAAATAATGAAACAAAAATCCTTTATTACTTGTTGAAGGTGTTTACCTGCTTTCTCGCTTTGTGAGTTAGAACTTCTATATAAAATCCCTGATTTCCTCGCACATTTAGTATATTATTATTGGACCACTAGTAAGTGTCAAAGTTGACCATCTCGTCTCTACTTCTTCGAGATTAGACGGGATACTTGCTGAGTACACGTTGATTACGTACTCATACTACACTTCTGTGCATTTTTGTTGCACAGGTATAAGTAACTCCAGTGGCCTACTGGGCGTAGCAGCGCGGATGATTCTGGGACTAGGTGAGCTGCATTATTTGAGGCGACCCGCAGCTAGTGTAGTTCCTTTCAGTTTATGGTATTTAATTCCTGTCCAATGTATTTCGGACGGATATTGTATTTTATTTCCTTATCAGTAGATGCTCATGCACTTGTGACACCGGGTTCTGGGATAGTTTTTCAGAGATGTGTACTAATAGTTATTACTTAATTCGAATTGAAGTAGAAATTGTTTTTAATTATGAAAAATGGAAGGAAGAATCCTAGATTTTCAAAGGTATTAAAAGAGAATTTAATTGATAACTTAGTTGGCTTGCCTGACAGTAGTGTCCGGCGCCATCACGACCCGTGGTGGATTTTGGGTCGTGACAGGAAGGAGCTAACTAGTTATCCAAACAAACGTAAATAATTGCTAAACATGGAACTTAATGACAAAACTCAAAAGGGTACCAATTTCTTATTGTGCGATTTGATCCTTGGAGGCGTATGCCCTTAATTCATTCCTACTCAATCTTATGCGACGTGAAGCGCTTGTTATAAATCGAGAGTTGAAGAATTTTTTTTTAATAGCACCACAGATGTGATACGGGATGTTTCTCCCGGTATGGCTGATCAGATTATTGTCGTTGCCTTATGGGAGAATATTTTATTATTTCAGCCAGTAGCGGTATTTCGAGGGCTTTGAGGCTAGGCACAAGTTGCCATGATGCTTGTGAATAATTGTTCCGCGGTATTGTTATAATGGTAGGATGTTTTGCCCACGTGTCGGGGCAATGAATGACTTCAAGGGAATTCTACTCAGCGCATAATCAAGAGATTCAATATTTTATTCCAGCAGGGGGAAAGGCAATCGAACTAAGGATGGTCAGATGTGGACTGGTGGAAGTAATGAGGCTTGGTAATTGCAAGCGTGGTGGAGTTGATCTCTTGTGATGGGGTACTGTTGTCCTAATTGAACGTATTAAGTTTGTCGGTGTTATGATCTTCTACAATTCGCCTTTGGGGAAAGATATCGTGAAATAGTATCGGAGATGCAACCATCAGATATCGCATGGTGCGGTGGTTTAGGATTGAATCAGTATTTCAAATGTTGACGGTTCGAGAAAGATGACCTTCGAAAAATTTTGGAATTAGTGGCAAATTGTGGATTCAAGTTCTATGAAGATAAATTTTATTAAGGCAACGACTGAGTAACAGAAGATGAGAAGGACATGTGGGAAGGGTCAGGCGGAGTTCTAAACTTCTAAAAGGCCAGGCTTAGGGAGCGCAGGCCGAGCAGTTGATTAAAGAAGTGATTTTGCCCAAAATGGGAGAGCAGCGGAGCTGTAGGGGCTTGGTAATAAGATGACTATGCGCCTTAAGGAGAGTCTGGAACGATTTGAGAATATTGGTGCTTGGTTATTGGGGTCTACGGATCTAATTTGAAGTAGGGATTCTTGTGCGGCCGGAAATTTAATATAAC